CAGAGCATGAAGACCCTGTCACACGGCTCAGAAGAAAAGGGAGAAAAAAATAAAATAAAATATAGTTATTAAAATAAAAAGTAAGAAAAATTATTAAATATAAAAATAATTCAAAAGTAATTAAAAAAACAAGGAAAGAAGAGAGGAGCCTAACCAAAAATGAAATCCACCATGATAACAAGCGCTAAAACCTATATTAAAAAACAAACAATAAAAACAGACAGACAGAACTCCAGGACAAATGGTAAAAGCAAAGCTATACAGACAGAATCACACAGAGAAGCATACACATATACACTCACAAAAAGAGGAGGAAAAAAATATATATCTATATATAAAAAAAAAGGAAGAGAGCAACCAAATCAATAAACAAATCTACCACTGATAATAAACTCTAAATACTAAACTAAGATAAACATAAAACCAGAAACAAATTAGATGTAGAAAGCAAACCCCAAGTCTACAGTTGCTTCTAAGGTCCACCGCCTCAATTTTGGGATGATTCGTTGTCTATTCAGGTATTCCAGAGATGCAGGGTACATCAAGTAGATTGTGGAGATTTAATCCGCTGCTCCTGAGGCTGCTGGGAGGAATTTCTCTTTCTCTTCTTTGTTTGCACTGCTCCTGGGGTTCAGCTTTGGGTTTGGCCCCGCCTCTGCATATATGCTGCCTGAGGGCGTCTGTTCTTCACTCAGACAGGATGGGGTTAAAGTAGCAGCTGATTAGGGGGCTCTGGCTCACTCAGGCCAGGGGAAGGGAGGGGTACGGAATGCAGAGAGCCTGTGGCGGCAGAGGCCGGCGTGACGTTGCTCCAGCCTGAGGCACACTGTGTGTTCTCCTGGGGAAGTTGTCCCTGGATCGCGGGACCCTGGCAGTGGTGGGCTGTACAGGCTCCTGGGAGGGGAGGTGTGGATAGTGACCTGTGCTTGCACACAGGCTTCTTGGTGGCTGCAGCAGTAGCCTTAGCATTTCATGCCCATCTCTGGTGTCTGTTCTGATAGCCGTGGCTTGTGCTCATCTCTGGAGCTTGTTCAGGTAGTGCTCTGAATTCCCTGTCCTCCTGCACCCCAAAACAATGGTCTCTTGCCTCTTAAGCAGTTCCAGACTTTTTCCCGGACTCCCTCCAAGCTAGCTGTGGCGCACTAGCTCCCTTCAGGCTGTGTTCATGCCGCCAACCCCAGTCCTGTCCCTGGGATCTGACCTCGGAAGCCCGAGCCTCAGCTCCCAGTCCCCGCCTGCCCCAGCCGGTGAGCAGACAAGCCTCTCGGGCTGGTGAGTGCTGGTCAGCACCGATCCTCTGTGCGGGAATCTCTCCGCTTTACCCTCCACACCCCTGTTGTTGCGCTCTCCTCTGTGGCTCCGAAGCTTCCCCCCTCCACCACCCACAGTCTCCACCCGTGAAGGGGCTTCCTAGTGTGTGGAAACCTTTCCTCCTTCACGGCTCCCTCCCACTGGTGCAGGTCCCGTCCCTATTCTTTTGTCTGTGTTTTTCCTCTTTTCTTTTGCCCTACCCAGGTACGTGGGGAGTTTCTTGCCTTTTGGGAAGCCTGAGGTCTTCTGCTAGCATTCAGTAGGTGTTCTGTAGGAGTTGTTCTACATGTAGATGTTATTTCTGATGTATTTGTGGTGAGGAAGGTGATCTCCATGTCTTACTCCTCTGCCATTTTGAAGGTGTACTTGAAACTGTAAGGTTTTTGAAGGCAGGGACTGTTTCTGTTTAGTAGGAGTCCAAATATATATTGATCTAAATTCACACTGAAGATACATGTCCTCTTTTCCTAGGAATTCAGAATCCCTTTAGTAAATATTCTGACTTTCTAGGATAGGGATATTAATAGGTTACTGACAGTTATTGGAACACCCTGAATATTTAATGTTAGTATAATACCATCCGTCTTCTACATTTAAAAGTTCCTAACCATGACTAAATAACTTAAAGGTTACTATTGTTAAGGACACTTAAGACAACTCTAGTTGAAGAGTTTTGTCATTTCTAGGAACTATTCTTATCAGTCACTTCCAGTACAGAGACCTCAAAGCAATTTAAAGAGCCAGTGTCACAAAGTACTTAGACAACCAGCCAGTGATATTTGGGTTTACTGGTCTGTTTTTGCCTCTTCCTTCTTCTCTCCTCTATTTCTTTCCTTATCCCATTTTCTTTTCCCATCTGTTTCCTAAGTTAATATAAAGTTTGAAATGCTTTTTCCCTACTTTCACTCAAATATTGTTCAGGAGGGACCTTTTCTACTTCACAGTTGTCAAAAACTAGTCTCTGCAGTGTAGATTATTTGCAGGTAAAATATTGGAGAACAAAACTGGGGAACAGTGACATTAGAAATGGGAATGTGGAGAGCACTATAGAGAAGAATGGGTTTGGAATCAGGGGATGTGCATTTGAGGTTCAGCATCTACCATGTCATTTTAACTTTTCTAAGCTTCAATTTACTTATTTATAAAATGAAGATAACCACCAACCCAACCCAAGTTTACTTCATAGTATTGTTAATAAGTTATTAATAAGTTAATAAATATTAAGTTAATAAATATTCTATTTTACACCAGTGTCTTTTATAGAATAAGTACACTTCACTCAATAAAACTGGAGCACCTTCAGCGTAAGGAAAAAAAAGACCCTTTAGACTCCGATGGTCACTTTGGCCAGTGCTATAGTTCCTGGGTCTCTACTCTTGAATCACTGCCATGTGAATTGCTCTCACTGGGGACTTCCCTGCTTATGGAAAGTCTAATCCCTAGAATTTTGTTGCTGTTACTATTCCCCTCCTTTTCTTCAAATATATGAAATAGTAGAATCTTTGGAAATATGTGATTTTGTCTTGAAGACTGACTGTTAGTGATGCAGTACCGTAATGATCTCATAAAAATTTTTATACCTTTTCAATGTTGCATACCAGACCTTAAAATTAAGGTCTATTAGTATATTTAGTTCCAGGCCATGTTTCAGGTAAGTCTGCAGTGGCTGTGTGGCATAGAAAGAGAAATGAAGTAGGAGTTAGGGGAACTGATTTCAAATGTTGGTTCTATCATTGACTATTTACGCTTAGGCAGGACTTCCTTGGTTTTCATTCTTAAAGCAGAGCAATAAATGGGTTTAGACCAGATGATGATGATGATTTTATTTAGCCATTTAAAAAAAAATTATTTATCTTTCGCTGCGTTGGGTCTTTGTTGCTGTGCGTGGGCTTTCTCTAGTTGCGGCGAGTGGGGGTTACTCTTCATTGTGGTGCACGGGCTTCTCATTGCATTGGCTTCTCTTGTGGAGCACAGGCTCTAGGCACAGTGGTATTCAGTAGTTGTGGCTTGAGGGCTCTAGAGCACAGGCTCAGTAGTTGTGGCACATGGGCTTAATTGCTGCGTGGCATGTGGGATCTTCTCAGACCAGGGCTTGAACCCGTGTCCCCTGCATTGGCAGGAGGATTCTTAACCACTGTGCCACCAGGGAAGCCTGATGATGATGATGATTTTTTAATTAATTTATTTTTGTCTGTGTTGGGTCTTCGTTGCTGCATGTGGGCTTTCTCTAGTTGCGGCGTGCAGGCTTCTCATTGCAGTGTCTTCTCTTGTTGTGGAGCACGGGCTCTAGGCGTGCAGGCTTCAGTAGTTGAGGCACATGGGCTCAGTAGTTGTGGCTCACAGGCTCTGGAGCGCAGGCTCAATAGTTGTGGCACACAGGCTTAGTTGCTCCGCGGCATGCAGGATCTTCCCAGACCAGGGCTCGAACCCGTGTCCCTTGTGTTGGCAGGTGGATTCTTAACCACTGTGCCACCAGGGAAGTCCCTGGACCAGATGATTGTTAAAAGTCCTTCTAGCTCAAAATCGTTTGATTCCAAGTCCCACACCAGAAAATAAGTTTAGAGGTTAGGTAATATACTACTATTATATAAAATATATAATAAAAATTCATAATTCTAGCTGGTAATCCCTTTATTCCTTCAGGTTGTAAGTACTTTTAACTTTATAATAGGAAGTGTAAATGATATAGAAACAGAAAATCTAAATTAAGTAGCAGAGATACAAGCATTAAAAAGCATTAACCAAAATTTTTTTATGGTAAGTACTACCTTTATTTTAAAAAGTTATACATGCTAGAAAAAAGCATAAATGATGCATGTAAACAATTGTTTACCAAATACTTATTTTTTTCCTTATAAAGGTGCAAATGATCTTTAAATGTAAACACAAATGTTGCCAAACATTTTTGTAGTGAGGGGAGGGAGAAGGTTATTCCGTATGGTTGTGGTTGAAGTCTTTTTCAAAGCTTTTCCTGCAAGATACATTGAAAAAAATTGGTGTATGATCACAATAACAAAAACACTTTAACCACTGAAATCTGTATTCTTTTTTTTCCTTAAAAATGTTAACTTTTTACCAGAAAGTGCAATTTGAGAGTAGTGGTAATAGTGGCTTTATAGAATGGGGATAATGATATATAGTTTTTATAAAAGAACCAAGATTTTATTAATTAAATGCCTCAATTGATTTTATACTCGTTAGCATACTATTTCATGAACTGAAGAATTCATTCCCTTGGAGGCTGTGATTACAGGTAAGCCTCAGCTTCAGCAGGCCTGAGCATCAAGTGTAAATTGCATAACAGTATTCACTGCTGGGGAGAGGACATTTCTCCCTGCTGGTCCTTAGTAGCAATAGGAAATAGAAAGGAAAGTTGCTTCAGTCAGTAACGTTTTTGAGCAAAAACTTGCAGAGTTACACGTGATTCTACTGGGGGATTCTCAAGACAGTATATGAGAATCATATACTGTTTTTGTAGAGGCACTGAGCAGAGCTCTAGATCTAGCAGGAACTCTATGGAAATATTTGAAAAAAAGACTTTATAGTGGCAAGCAAGTCCATAAGGAAGGAAACAAGATGTGAGCTTCCACTGATGAAAACTTTGGCATCTGAGTCCTGGTCTTATTGATTTAATATTCCTTTTGAATTGTTCTAGTTAAATGAGATGTTTCCTTTGTTTTGTTTTTTAGATTTTCAAGTCTTCTGGTGCTTACTGCAAGAATGATGCCTAACTAATACACCTTGCATACCTATCTTTGTCACTGGTAAGTCCCTGTAAGTAGTGGAGTCTTGTGGATGGACTGCTTAGAACTGACAACTAGATCCCATATAGACCTCTTCCCTTATTAGTAGTTTCAAACTTAATCAGTATCTTAAAAATAAGGTTTTACTGCTTGAAATGTTTTTTTTTTTGTCTTTCCTTTTTTTCTCTTTTGGTGGGAGGAAGGCTAAATCCCAAAACAAAAAACCAAAAACCCAGCAACAAAAATCCCATGATAAATTAAAACCAAAAATAAATATTCTTCTGCACAGAACTGAAAATTATTGTGCAAAGGTGGCGTCTTGCAGGTGAAGTACTTTCAATGTATCTGTATTTCCACATGTTGAGGCACCAGCAAATAATAAAATTTGTTTAGTGTATTCTAGAGCTGTACAAAGCTCCAAAGTCAAAGCTCTCCACAATACAGAGGAGCAAATGCATGACTGTCTTCTATATGGTCACCATATATGGGATTCACAATGTGTCATTTTTATAACTCCTACACCACCTCCAAGCCGACGGTAATTCATCCCGCCATATAACCTGCAAAGAAAGAAACACAATCAGATTTCTAAATAGAAAAAGCACTATTTCTTCCATAATGTAGATGTTAATAAAACACAATTCTTTGTTTTATATCACAACTAATATTTTTAGCTTCATACATCTCTTCCAAAGAGTAGGAGCTGGAATTGAGCACTGGCAAGTAGCAGAATTATTTCAGACATTGACTGAAATTCTCTGACTTTTAGGACACTGTTTTAAGAGAGCACCATATCCATTTTGCCTTGTAACTTTATAACTCTACATGTAGACTGACTTATAACAATTACACAGAATCACATATTCTACATTTTTGTGTCTAATTTTGACCCTGGCTATATTTTCCCACCCACATTTTGCTTTTGCCTAAACTTCAATGATTTATTTCTATCCTTTTGTTTTGTATGTACTCTTAGAAGTCTTCTCAAACCCTTTATGGAACAAAGCTGGATATGATTAAATAAAGTCTGCATCTAGTTTCTGATATGTGAACAAGATCATCTTCAAAATTAAGGATTTCCATGGAAAAGAATATTAGATCCTCTGTCAACTGTAAGTATTGATTTTAAATTGGCTTTAAGTTTGGGATATGTAACTACAAAAATTTATATAGTAATCCCTCAACAGATGGTCCTTAAGAATTTCATGAATATTACTTGGTCAAATATTACTAACATATATTAGTAACAGTTACTGAGAAACAAGTCCTTACATAGGATCATAGTCATTAAGTGGCAGAAATAAACTTGGCTGTCTTCCCAAATTATGCTTACCAGATTCCCACTAAAAATAGAAAGCTGTATATGGAAGAAAATACACCGTAAGTGAGAGGCTCCTATTCATGAAAACCTGCCATTCTCTTTCCCTTAACCTCTATTAGGTTTTGCTGAAATGTTACCTTTTCAGTGGGGCCTCCCTGGGCTACCTTTTAAAGTGGATAATCCTCCCTGGACTCCCTGCCTCTCTGCTATTTGCCATAGCACTTCCACCCCTGGTATGGCACTATCTCCCTCGTAATGTCAGCTCCAGGCAGGCAGGGAATTTTGTTGTGTTCACTTTTGTATCCCCAGGGTCTAGAGCACTCAGTAAATCTTTACTTCATGAACAAGGTTGTGAAAATGTGATGTACAAGCAAAAAGTGCTACAGTGTTATTAGTCTGACTTTAGTATTGTGACCACTGAGCCATGCAGAGCATGAGAGAGATGCAGAATCCAAAGAATGTCATTCAGATATCTGTCAAAGTTGTGGCTTTCCCTGTTTCCCAGAGATGAAGACTATAAAAAGAACCCAGTAAATTCATTAGTTGAATCTTATATACTAATGAAAAAAATCTGGGTGATAGTTACAGGCTCAAAATTAGAAAATGTATACTCAGAATGCAGAATGGACTACAAGACTGCCCCTTCTGGAATATAAAAGTGACTATAAAAGACGTCAACTTATCTTTCCTGGTCATGAGAAAAATCTTTCAGAATGTCTTCTGCCTCAGATATCATATCTAGACTGCTATCTGTGGTTTATGTGCAACCTCAACCACTGAGATGGTTACCCCAGACGTGTTTAGGCAAATAAGCTCAATTCTCTGAGAAAGAACTGCTTAGAAGGTAAACTGTTTTTTTTCAAAGCTAGTATTTAAAATAGATATTAGTATAGATATAAAGTACCTCAAACCCATACTATTAATATTTTATATTAAAAATGAGAATTAACTATATATTTGACCTTTTAAACTTGTAGTGTTTAAGAGACTTTGGCATATCAGAGCATCTATCAGATTAGTTTTGTCAATCAAGCTTAAAATGTGTGATTGAGCAAAGATCAAGTTTAATATGTGTGACTGAGCAAAGATTTAGACTTAGGATTTTAAGTTGAAAGGTTTAAGAGAATTTTGCTACATTTGTAAAAGTTTTTGAATATTTAAAATAAATGCAAGAGTCACCCAATTTATGTGAATTTATAAGAACTACTTATTTAGGAAGGATTTGTTAGACAATTAAGGATTTAAAAGCAAAGTAAAATTAAGCCTATGAATACAGCTTAACTTAAACTCTCCTAAGTAAGATGTAGCCTCATTGCTAAAAGTGACTGTTACAATTTACTAGACATTAAAATAGAGTAATAACATATTTAAATATTTTTAAAACTCAAGAGAAAAAATCAGTTTTAAAATGAAATAAAATATTATTTTTAAAACGGTAACTGCAGTTTGTTTTTCCTGGGCATAAAAATTGCAATGACAGATTGACAGCCAAAGGTCTAGGTTCTAATTCTAACTCTGTCAGTAACTTGCTTAGGCAGGTCTCTATTTCTCAGTGCTTTAGTTTCCTCAGCTGAACGTGACAGAGCTAGAGGGGAGATTGTTTTTTCTGTTTTTGCTACCTCCAATTATAAAACTGGACAGTTACCAAAGAGAGGAATTTTGTAAGATGTCAGCCACTTTAGAGCAATGAAGTCAAAATAAGCCATCAAATATGGGTAACTTTGAGCCCTTTTCAAAGTACTGCAAGAGGTAATTCAATATACTGACCATCTTGATTTTGATGGTCATGTTTTATCTCAAGCCCATGATTTTCAAGTCAGCAGTGAGGTGATTTGCAACATAGCTTAAAGGTTACCTCCATGTATTGGCGTCAGGATCAAAAACTTCAATGGTCTTCAAGTACGTTGTGCCATCAAAACCTCCTACAGCCATGAGCTGTCCATTCACTACTGCCAGGCCAACCTATGGGACCAAAACACAGTGGCTGCTGAAGAAACTGCTCTCTATTAGATATGGATGAATCTATATATCCAATCCAATCCAATATCAATGAATTCGAGTGAAGTTAGATAAGGTAGTAAAGACAGGGCGATGCCTTTCAAAGAAGCAACTGATTACAAGATAAATCATAAGATGCAAACTATTGTATATAGAATGGATAAACCACAAGGTCCTACTGTATAGCAGAGGGAACTATATTCAGTATCCTGTGATAAACCATAATGGAAAAGAATATTAAAAGAGAATGTATATATGTATAACTGAATCATTTGCTGAACAGCAGAAATTAACATAATATTATACATCAACTATACTTCAATAAAAGTAAATAAATCATAAAAATAATTCTCTAATTAAAGATATGATTAGATATAAGATATTTAACTTGAGATAATAGTAATCAAAAGAAATTAACTTTTTTTTCCAGTACAAAAGTGACAGGGGTTGTTTTGCCTATACAGTGCATCTCCTCACTGTCCCATTGTATTATACTTTACAGATCAGACTTCTCCTTCTGCACAGCCCTCTCTTGGTGCTTTTGCTTTTCAAAGTTTTCAGTAGCCGGGCACTTACTCCACTACGGCGGGATGTCATAGCCACCACTGGAGACCACTGGTTGGTTCTGGGGTTGTATCTCTCAGCACTGCTAAGCTCTGTAGTGTCATCTCTACCTCCTACGGCATAGATCATATCCTGATACACTGCACAGCCTAGGTGTTTCCTCCGGGTCCCCATAGGGGCTATGGTGTGCCATCTGTTTTCCTGAGGATTATAACGCTCCACTGCAGGGAAAAGAAAAACCAGTAAGTGACCATGCAATCATTTCCTTTCACCTCTAGTTTTCTTCATAGCTACTTCACTTTGTGATAACATATTTTCAATAAGCAATCTGATTTTTGCTTCTGAGAAGGAATCATGTACCTTTGGATAATACTACTATATTCTCATCAGGGACTGATTTCTTTTAGGTATGGTTGATGCAAAGGGCATGTGTTGGAGTCAAGGTACCTAGTTCTAGTTCTGGCTATATGACTCATTAGCTATGTGACTCGTGGCATCTCTCCTTATCTTTAAATGACAGGATTAGACTATAAACCAGTTTATAAGTTTTTATTTATTTTTAGATTATAATACAGAGGATTTTATTTGTTTTTTAAGGAAAGATGGTTGGGGGGAGGGAAATAATATTAAGAAAATAGTTGTTTTATTCATTATAAATTCCTAGCAACTTGTGAAATGAAGGGAGAAAGAAATACTTTGGGAATATACTAGTAGACTATGACTGCAGAAGGAGCTGAGGAAGAGCTAACAGTTGAACTCTCCTAGAGGGAAAATAATTTTCTTAATAAATGATAGGATAACATGAACTTCTTATACTTTTTGTAAGGGGACTCTCCTAAGAAAAATGTATTGGTTTGGGGAAACTAAACTGACTTCGGAAGGAACTAACCTGTGTTGAGTGGAGATGTCCCATCAGAGCCACCTACAGCGTATAAGAACCCTCCTAACACAGCCACAGCCACGCCTAGTCTCCTAGTACTCATAGAAGCCACCCGAGTCCACTTGTTCTCCTTCGGATCATACCTGCGGTAAGAGAAACCAAAGACTGCACGCATGTTTTTATTAAGTGAAGCCTTTTCCATAAGGTATGAAATTATGCTAAAGATATGTTAGATACATAGATTTGCTAAGGTCAAATGTACAGAGAGAATCTAACATATTTTTACATAGTTATCAGTACTCTGACTTATGAACTGGGGCTAGAACTCTGAAAACTACATTTCTCCTTTGCCAAGCTGGCTTTCTACTAGATTCTGCCAAAAGGAAGGACTAGACACTTTATGTTTGCTTGCTAACCCTGTCAATATTGTCTCAACATTGGCCTTTCACTCTGACAGTAGCAGTTAATTTCAGTTTCTAGACTTTTTCTGGCACTTCCAAAGCTAGCCTTGTTGGGGGTTTCAGTCACAGCTCTGTGAGGCAGCTCCTCTGAGCTCCTGAGATAACAGTACCAGTGTTCTGGTTATCTATGCTGTGTAACAAACCACCCCAAAACTCAGTGACTTTCCACAATAATTATTTTACTAATTCTTATGTTTCCATGCATCAGGAATTTAGGAAGGGCTTCACAGGGGAAGTTCTGGCTCAGGTGTCTCATGTGGTTGCTGTCAAATTGTGGCTAGAGCTGGAACAGCCAGGTGCTGAAGCAGCTGGGCGCTGGCTGGGCATGTCTCCATGTAGCCTCAGGGTCTCTCCATGTAGGCTAGTTGGGCTTCCTCTCAGCATGGCGACCTCAGACAGCTGAAGGCTTCAAAGGTGAGTGCCCCAAGAGTTACAAGTGAAAGATGTATCACCTTTTATGACCTAGCCTCACAAGTCACATAGAGCTACTACCATATACTGATAAGCCAGCCCAAATTCGAGGGGAGCAAACACAGACCTCATCTCTCAGTGAAGAGTTTCAAAGTCAGATTGTATGAAGAGCATGTGAGATGTCAGGTATTGTAACCATCTTCGGAAAATACAGCCTTCCAGAACTAGCCAGGCAGATAACCCTCCATAGAGATGTGAGTCACAGCTGTTCAGGGCACCCTCTCCTCAGGTGCTGATGGTCCTAGTTCTATGGGACCTCTCCTCCAAGCTTCTAGGCTCTAATAACTCTAATCTCTTTCCTTGTCTTCCCAGACCTAGGGTTCCTACAGTTACTTCAGTGTCCTTGTTTCTTTTTTTTTTTTCAGCCCTTCAATATGTGCTAGCCAATTTTTTTTTTTTTTTTTTTTTTTGCAGTACACGGGCCACTCACTGTTGTGGCCTCTCCCGTTGCGGAGCACAGGCTCCGGATGTGCAGGCTCAGCGGCCATGGCTCACGGGCCCAGCCTCTCCACGGCATTTGGGATCTTCCTGGACCGGGGCACGAACCCGTGTCCCCTGCATCGGCAGGTTGACTCTCAACCACTGCACCACCAGGGAAGCCCTAGCCAATTTTTTAATGTTAAATTCTCTTTACTAAAATAGCTGATATGGTTTCCGTTTTTTTTAACTGAGCCCTGATTGATAAATTATTGGTGTTCAGAAATAAATATGACAAAAATCACTTGGAATTGTGCTGGGCATTTTATTACATAGGTGAAAAATTCTGTTAGTATAGTAAGTATTGTATAGCAAACCATATCAATATTACAGGATATAAAATAAATAATACTAAAAATAGCCCTTGTTCTTAAGAAGCAAGCTGGGGAGACATAGCACATTCTTAAGGAAAAACCTCCAAACAAATTCTGGGAATGTAGTAACTCACAGAGATGAAAGAAGCAGAGATATAAGTGCTGCAGAATGGAGGCCCTGGAGAAAGGTTATGGTTAGTCAGTAAAGGTATCTTGAGGTTCATGCACTTTGAATAAAGTTTAGTTTTCATCACTTTTAGAAAATTCTCAGCCAAATATTCTGTCTTCAAATATTGCTTCTGCTCTTATTGCTATTTTCCTTCTGGGACTCCAATTACATATGTGTTTTAGTCTGTTTGTGTTCCCTGAGTTCCTTACGGTCTGTTCTTTACATTCTGTTCTTCTTTTTGGATATTTTCTATTAATCTGACTTTGAGTTTACTAACTCTGTCTTCTGCTGTGTCCAGTCTACTTCTACTCTGTCTATTTAATCTCATTCAATGAGTTCTTCATTTTAGATACTATATTTTCCAATTGTAGAAATGTACATCTTATTTTTAGATTCCAATCCTATATTAAAATTCTCCAACTTTTTACCCATTGATCTTTTCCTCTATTTTATTCAATGTATTTATTATACTTATTTTAAAGTCTTTTTCTGTCATCTCCAAATATGGATTATCTATAAGTCAGCTTCTGTTGTCTACTTTTTCTCTCATTGGCCACATTTTTCTGTTCCTTTATATGTCTCATATATTTTTTTATTGTATGCTTGGCATTATCATAAAATAATGGAATCCTAGAAACTGAAATTGATATTATACCCCCCCGTTGACAACACCTATGCCCCAAACAATGGATTCACTCTTTCTTATATTAGGCAGACATGGTGAAATGTTGAACACCTCAATCCAATGAGGAATTAAGCTTTACAATCCACAGATTTAAGGCAATCCCTATCAAATTACCAATGGCTTTTTTCACAGAAATAGAACAAAAAATTTTACAATTTGTGTGGAAACACAAAAGACCACGAATAGCCAAAGCAATCTTGAGAAAGAAAAACGGAGCCAGAGGAATCAGACTCCCTGACTTCAAACTATACTACAAAGCTACAGTAATCAAAACAGTATGGTACTGGCACAAAAACAGAAATATAGATCAATGGTTCAGGATAGAAAGTCCAGAGATAAACCCATGCATCTGTGGTCACCTAATCTATGACAAAGGAGGCAAGAATATATAATGGAGAAAAGGCAGTCTCTTCAATAAGTGGTGATGGGAAAACTGGACAGCTACATGTAAAAGAATGAAATCAGAACACACCCTAACACCATACACAAAAATAAACTCAAAATGGATTAAAGACCTAAATGTAAGGCCAGATACTATAAAACTCTTAGAGGAAGACCTAGGCAGAACACTCTCTGACATAAATCGCAGCAAGATCTTTTTCGATCCACCTCCTAGAGTAATGAAAATAAAAACAAAAATAAACAAATGGGACCTAATTAAACTTCAAAGCTTTTGCACAGGAAACTATAAACAAAACGAAAAGACAACCCTCAGCATGGGAGAAAATATCCAAAATACACAAACAGCTCATGCAGCTCAATATCAAATAAACGAACAACCCAACCAAAAAATGGACGAAAGATCTAAATAGACATTTCTTCAAAGAAGACATACAGATGGCCAAGAGGCACATGAAAAGATGCTCAACATCACTAATTATTAGAGAAATGCAAATCAAAACTACAATAAGGTATCACCTCACACCATCAGAATAGCCATCATCAAAAAATTACAACAATAAATGCTGGAGAGGGTGTGGAGAAAAGGGAACCCTCCTACACTGTTGATGGGAATGTAAACTGGTACAGCCACTATGGAGAAAGTATAGAGGTTCCTTAAAAAACTAAAAATAGAGCTACCATATGATCCAGCAATCCCAGTCCTGGGCATATATCTGGAGAAAACCATAATTCAAAATGGTTCATGCACCCCAATGTTCATTGCAGCACTATTTACAATAGCCAGGACATGGAAACAACCTAAATGTCCAATGATAGATGAATGGATAAAGCAGATGTGGTACATATATACAATGGAATATTACTCAGCCATAAAAAAGAACAAAATAATGCCATTTGTAGCAACATGGATGGACCTGGAGACTGTCATACTGATGGAAGTAAGTCAGACAGAGAAAGACAAATATGATATCGCCTATATGTGGAATCTAAAAAAAGGCTACATATGGACTTATCTACAAAACAGAAATAGAGTTACAGATGTAGAAAATAAACTTATGGGGCAGAGTCAAGATGGCGGCAGGGGAGGACATGGAGTTCGCGCCTCCCCACAACTAGGGCACTGGCCGGACACTGGTAGGGGACCTCGATGCCCAAGGAGATGGGAGGAACCCCTGAGAGGCCGGGTAGGACGTGGCGGGAGTAAGGGGGGATGAGAAGTGGAGGCCAGACAGGACCGGCGCCCCTGAGGGGTGGCTGGGAGGGGGAAGGGGTTCCCATACCTGGAGGAACGCTTGGGGGGCTTGGAGATCAGGGGGAGCAAGTCTAGCGTTTCCCCTGCCCAATCAGGCCCCGGGAAGCCTGCAGGGTTCCTGGGCCAGGTCCTCTGCCCTCTGAGGCCCCCTCTGGTCCATGCTGGTCCTAGGGGCGTAGGAGGGAGGCAGGGGGAGAAAAGGAGAGGAGGACAGGGTGGAGCCTTCTTTTTTTTTTTTTAAATTAATTAATTAACTTATTTTTGGCTGTGTTGGGTCTTCATTGCCGCACGCAGGCTTTCTTTCTCTAGTTGCGGCGAGCTGCGGCTATCCTTTGTTGCAGTGCATGGGCTTCTTATTGCAGTGGCTTCTCTTGTTGCGGAGCATGAGCTCTAGGCTCACGGGCTTCAGTAGTTGCGGCACACGAGCTCAGTAGTTCTGGCTCGCAGGCACTAGAGTGCAGACTCAGTAGTTGTGCCGCATGGGCTTAGCTGCTTCACAGTGTGTGGGATCTTCCTGGACCAGGGCTTGAACCCATGTCCCCTGCATTGGCAGGCGGATTCTTAACCACTGCACCACCAGGGAAGCCCCGAAGCCCTCTTTGATTGGAGAATCGGGGAGGCACAGAGGGCGTTTCCCCTGCCCACTTGCCCCCGGAAAGCCTGTTGGGCTTCCTGGTCTGGTCCCCTGCCTTCTGGGGCCCCCTCTGGATCTGTGGGTCCTAGGGGCATAGGAGGGAGGAGGGGGGGAAGAAGAAGAGAGGCCAATGGGGCGGGGCCCTCCAGGGATTGGAGGATCGGGGGGAACTCGCCTAGAGTTTCCCCTGCCCTCTCGGGCCCAGGGAGCCTGCTGGGGTCCTAGACCTGGTCCTCCACCCTCCAAAGCCAGAGGCACTCCTGGGCCCCTGCTGCTGCACTGAGCCTAAGCCCCCACCCTCCTAGGGCCTTATCCGGCCCTGTGGGACCTAAGCATAGGCCCCACCCACCACCTAAACCCCGCCCCCCAGAGTCAAGGCCTTTTCCGCTTTTTTTTTCCTCCTTTTTACTATTGTGGTTCTGTTTTACCTTCTGGTTGTTGTTTCATCT